TGGAGTTTTATTTAGCAGAGTTTATTTATTAGAATTTGAGTTTACTTATAACAATACTTGATTACTTCTGATGTCCCGGGTCCGATTTCCGGTGGGATCAAGCTAGAAAATGTCGTTTTCTATATTGACCTCCGTTGTTTTAGACACTTCATAATACTACTGCTTTAGTTACTCAATTTATTGAAAATAATGATGTATTTTGAATACTTCAACAGTTTATTATAGTAAATAATGATAGAAAAAACCAAGCAACTAGACTAAAATAATAAGTATGTAATTATATACGTTCTTATATTTAACGTTTCTATCTCACTTAGGTATTAGCAAGATTTTCGATCAGTTGCACAAACTTCGAATCTAATAAACTAATTACGATATGAATTGTAATAAATTGAAAGTCTGTCTAACTGTCGCTTTGTAGATTAAATTCATTAAAAGGATTATATCAAATTCGGTTTTTGACCGTGTAATATATAAAAAATAAGTCGAATACATTGAATGATTTTAATTATTTATCGGTTCACCCAATTGTTACAATGAAAATTGAGATAGAACATTATTTCCATAAATTACGCTAATTGTAGTACTATTAATTAAAGGTAAACACCACATGCACGGACAAAAAACGGCAAAATATAATTTAAATCGGTATAAAATACATTAAGTATTATTATTCAAACTCAATAAGAATACTGTAAAACTAATGAAATTCTTTGGTGGGATAAACTCAGTAAAGCTTTCAAACAAAAAGTATGATGAAACAACACAAATATAGATAGAAAAAATTTTCATTCGACTTAATATTCTCTTAATATATTCGAAATCCCTTTTCAAAATTCACATAAAATAATTAATACTGTATTTAGATACGCTTAATTAATAATTTTATGGAGACTGGTTGTGAAAACCTAAGATAATCTTACACAACTTCAGCCCAAACAAGGTGTTGCACGAAATATTTTAAGTTTCATTTTTATGGCTAACATAAAATTCTCGTTACAATTTTTATTTTACACTAAAGGACTTGTTTCAGTGAAAGTAAACGATTTTATTTGTTTACATAACGTACAGTGAACAGCACGTCAGACTTAACAAAACTGTGAAATTTCTCCGCTTGGTTTTAAACCTTAACGTGTTGGTGGTAAAGTTAAAATTCGATTGAGGAAAGACATTGTGAGCCTTGTGTACAATTGCATCAATTAATTATTTTTGAAAGTAATTCCAAATGCTTGCGATTTGGGCCAGAGAGGCAGTGTTCATTAATTTTACAGATTTGTACAGGCTTACAACAGGTAATGCAACTTTGAAGCATTGAATTTGTAATCGTGTCTCAAGTGAAGTAAAACACAAGCTTTTTGCCAGCGGTTTAACCCGCGTAGTCCCGTTTTTATACAAATAAAACTTCACCCACCTATTCCATCCATTTAGGGTTTGAATTTCTAAAAGTCCTTTCTTAGTACTCAAAATTTCAAGTATCTAGGTACATTAGTATCGGTGCTTTGATATATCAGTAAGATATCCTTATTAGAATGCGTACATAAAAAAATATTATATTTCAACTACGTTTGTATAAAGAAATATTGTCTTAATAAACATTTTTTCAGATTTTTTCAATTTTTTTAGTAGCTCGGTGGCGTAGTGGATAAGCGCCGCGGCGATCGTTGTCGTTAAGCAACTTTCGCAAGGGTCGGTCACAGGATGGGTGACCAAAAAATTATTAACTCGAGCTACTCCGTGCTTCGGAAGGCACCATAAGCCGTCGGTCTCAGCTACATTTGTAGTCGTTAATACCTGCCAATCCGCATTCGGCCAGCGTGGAGGGTCATGGTCCATGCTCCTTAACCATCCATAAGGAAGGCTTGAGCCCCTGCATTGGGGACGAAATAAAGGGCTGATATACCATTCCGAGCCTTCCTTATGGGTGGAAACGAATAGGGAGAATAGGCCATGACCCACCTCGCGGGCCCAGTCAGATGCAGCCAAGACCAACGGCATTATGTGCCTAGAAGAGCTCGAGATAATAAATTTTCGAGCTCAAGTCTCGATAACCTATAATTAAAAATGAGAAACCTAGGTAATATTTTTTAAAGTTCTACTACAGCCAAAACACATAGCGAGCAAAAAAACCGAATAACACGCGAGCAAAGCTTGGGCAGAAAGTTACTAATATGTACTACAAACATTTGTGCCGATACTATTTTATTTGCACTCAACAATTTACGCGCTTAGGGCATTAAGTTAGGTCAGACGACTAGATAGGCGATGACGTCACCAACAGAACGTCTCTATGAGGCGAAATAGGTCAATAGAGCCGTTCGTGATAAGTCTATCACAATGTGGTCTTTATTGAGAATAAAAGGCTAGCTAATAAAAGTGTTTATGCCTTTTATATCTGTACTAATATTATAAAGAGGGAAAGCTTCTAACTGTTTGTTTGTAGGAAATATCTTCAGAAATACTAAACTGAAAGTGAAAATTCTTTTACGGCAATCTACATCATACACGGGTGATATAGATTATAACATACTTCTGGGGGCCAATTCTACTAAATAAATGTTGTTTAAATCGAATCGAAAACGGATCGAAACCGAACGAAACTACAGTTTTTAATGATTTTCCTATTCTACAAAGTGACATACGATACAATTTTAGTTCTATTTTAGCTGGAATTGTATAGTATGTCACTTAGTAGAATAGAAAAACCATTAAAAACTCTAGTATCGTTCGGTTTCGATCCGTTTTCGATTCGATTTAAACAAAATTTATTTAGTAGAATTGGCCCCCAGATATGTAACCTTTTATACGGGCACTTTTCTAATACAACTAAGTCGAGATCGCAGTCGTTATAGCGCATAAGAATGTTTCATGCAAGCAATAATAATATGCCTATCATTACTAAAATCTGCAGCACTCCGCATGCGGGCCTTACCGACTAGAGACAGTAACTCGCAGGATGCTTTGTTACCTTTGGCATTCTATAGAAATCTGTCGCACTATCAAGCAATCAAAGTGGTCAATGAAGATTTCTTTAACATCGCTAATCTATTTTTACTTGTCCCTTTAACTTCTGGGGAATGCTCCATAGGCCTTCTCTATAGATAAAATCGAATCGAATATGGTCCACCACGCGGAACCATGCCTTTTGAATTATGGAGGAGGTGAAATTAGTAAAACTTCGATCACCCATCCTATGACCGACCTTTACGAAAGTAAGGTACTTAACTTCCGCATCGCAGACCGAACGGACTGGCTCCTGTGCCATCACGCACCCATGTTTTTAACACATCTACCGAAATTAATGTTTTATTTTAATTTTAATTTATTGATAATAACATATAAGCTGATTATTTTTGACATTGGATATATAATAATTGACTTTTGAATTTAATTTGTTATTTGTTGTTTTGTAATGTGTATCACTGTTGTATTTTTGTAGTATAATATATTAATTGACGCCTATGTCTTGTAACTGTAGTTTATTATTATGTAGTTATTATTGTAATTGTGTTGTATAATTGTATTGTATTGTATATAATTATAATTGTATTGTAGCTAAATAAATATTGAAATGTAAACGCATATGGATATCTTAATACAAATGCTGTGCATGTCTGTAATTGTCATAAATGCTAGATAAGTGTCATTTAAAAGGTTTACTGATTATTTTTGTATTTGTGATGTTGACGTGCCTTGAGTAAATAAATAAATAAATAAATAAATAAATAAATAAATAAATAAATAAATAAATAAATAAATAAATAAATAAATAAATAAATAAATAAATCGATTAATTATCTAAATAAATATTGGCCTATTCTAACTCTTGTTAGGAGAGTTAATGCATTTTCTTTTCTTTTTTAAATTAGGTTAGTTACAAAATGTTTCTCTTTTATCTCGTAGTATTTTTATTCTTCGTCCTTTTCAGAAGTAATTAATAGAGGTTATTAGCAGTAGATTTAAGATAAATGTTCCATACCTAAATGTTGATTGCATCGAAATTATTTTTTATTAATATTACATCAATGAAAATTGTTGTCAATAACTGACAATTTCTTAGTAAATAAAGAACAAATTTTCGTACATTCGAAAACAATAAAAAAAAATAAGAGACCTTTTTCGTAGAATTTCGTAACTTTCACAAAATTTCGTTCAAATTTGTGTCAAAGAAAGAAAAATCATTCATAATTAACCTTCCATTAACATTTCATCCTTCAGAGTACTATTCTTTATAAATATTATTTTATAACTTGTTATCACGATACAAATATTATTGTGTAAGTTTTTTTCTGGTATATGAAACTAAACAGTTGTTGTCATAATATCTGTTGTACTTTTTAATAAATAAGATAAATAAATCTACGATTTTTATTAAACTGACATATATAATAGGTATGTATATGACACATCACAAGAATGTAAGTAGTTGTGTAGCCGTTTTAATTGTAAATATAAAACATATGCTGAAGAAATAGAGTTCTATTTTATTTATTAAATGCATAAGAGCAAGGATTGCACTATTGTTTATGTTATGATCGACCAGCATAGTATATTTAGTAAGCGTTTTTCCTTAATACTTAAGGCGAAAATATTAGAAACTATTTTCTCGCCATCATATGTACTATAGTCATCAATGATCATACTGAGAAAAACCGATATGCCGATACAAAATAAAAAAATAACTGGTTGAAGTTTTAACATACTAAATTTTAAATTAGATGTTTATTATCTCACAATATGAAAACGGCAATTAATTAAACAATTAATTAAAAAAAACAATTAATAGACTCCCTAAACTTGCTTATCAAAGTAATTGAATAAATAAAAATATGTTTTAATCTTGTTGCATGTTAAGTGGCTATTATTACCCTTAGAACTCATTTCAACAAATTTGTTATCTTATTAAAATATAATTTGAACTAGATAATGAACGCGATACATGACTATTTGACAAAGGATCAACTTCTGCCTCACAAATTTAAGATAATAATTTGTAACCATACCTTTAGCTTAGATTTGTGCACAACAGCGTTATTCTGCAAGGAGTCGAAAGCGTGCCAAATGCAATTAGTGACATTTTTCAATAACGTCGCCATATTATCACTGGGTAAAAAGAATATGTTTTCATCACAAAAAATAATGAAGACCGTTCGTTTTTTAAAAGGCGGACGCGCGTGTTTCCTTAGCGGGCTGACTCATAAAACTGACAATACATTTTGCGCTATCAAGCAGACTCAAGGAAACGAGCTAGGTCAGTGGTACTCAACTGGAAAGTGGTAGGGCCCAAAAAAAATTAAGTGTTTATTTTTATTATTAACTAGATTTTGCCCGCGACTTCGCCCGCATGGTTTAGTTTTAAGTCCAGAAATGAGAAAACTCCAATAAAACTTTCATCCCTTAATTTGCCCCCTTAGAATCCCCTTATTAAAATCCTGTCTTAGTAAGCACCTACGTCCTGAAAAAAATCCGCATGCAAAATTTGAAAAATAAGAGGATCCCATAATGTTGATAGACTGAAGCATTTCAAAATGTTACCGCTGAGATGCCGAGAAGGTGTAATAGATATTAGATTTACCTGAAAGTTTCTGAATAATAAAATTGACTGCCCACGACTTTCGTCACTCAATAGTGGTGAGCGTTCAAAAAAGTCGCTTCACTGTCCTTTCCATAAGACTGTTTTCGGTGCTAATTCTTCATTATCTAGAATATGTAAACTTATTAATAAACTAGCTTTCCGCCAGCGGCTTCACCCGCGGGAACTGTTTAGCGGGATAAATATTACTAAGATTATTTGCTTCTGTGTAAACAGCATTATGGATAGCGTTTCATATAGCGACACGGATACGATTATAATGACAAATTGTTACTATGGCAACCTTTTAATTCCCTATACAAACTGCCACTCCCATTTCATCCTTTTATTTGATGATTTCAGAAAATATATAGCCTATGTCCACCGCATATGATGTAGTTTCCCGCTCGGTCTAGTAGTTTCGGAGTCTATTCGATGCAAACAAACAATCAAATCTTTCCTCTTTACAATATTAGTATAGATATAGTTAAAGTAATACGTTCCATATTCACTTTTGTACGTTCAACCATATATGAAACGCTGTTATTTAGAATAGTCAAATCAATATTTATAGGTCATATCCTAAAAATGTGATTTCGCTCTTGTTTGAATGTCTTTTTTTTTCAATTGTCTTTGTGTATGTGGTTTTTATTTACATATAACTGTTTGACGCAATTAGTTTGTTATAATTTAATTTACCGTTAGTATTTAGTTGTTAGTTACACTCAAAGGTAAAGCTGATTATACAATTCTACATATACATGCAAACTTCTTAATGCATTTATCGATTTATATGCACTTTTAGTTGAAGTAAATTAGTTACCCAACTACACGAAACTTTTGCTACCAAATCGTGAAGAAAAATATTAAAAGTTTGAGTAACAGTGTGCTAATCAAAATAAAGTGCAGTAGCGAGAGCTTGTGAGTAATGAATGACCGTGAGGTCATTGAGTGCACACAGCAGTTAATAGACTATTTGATATAATGTAAATATAGGTATACCTATCGCAGATAAAAGTTAGCTTAAATAAAAGGAAGCGAATCTTTTTGTGCTATATTTATAACTCGTTCGTTGATTATTATTTTCAAACATGTAAGATACAGGATAAAAGCTACTATATGTTTTTTATAAAGTCTGTCATAGGATCACTTGTGTGTGCGCCCATACAGAAACATACAGATGTTTGTCACAGTTCATTTGCAACATACCTTAAATTTTAGAAAAAATAGTGCTTTGGCTATATGTTACAGCAAAAGCAAGAAATCTGTAGTTAAAAAACATACACGAACATGGAAAAATATTGCGATATACTGATTTTAAAGGTATGTTTTTGAACAGAAAGATTTGTTTCAACAAATTTTAAGCCTAGTCTTACCTAGGCTTTTTTATTCAAGAAAATAAGTATCTATATGAATAATATTAATAATTACATATTAATTCAAATCTTTCATTTTTTATCTTGACCTTGATTCGATTAAAATCCACGGATAAAACTTTAAAGACGCTCTTGAACAAAAATGTTGCACACAATTTCAGTTTTGGCAGTGTCTTAAAATGGTCATTGGCTGGTCGAATGCTACATTATAATTACATTACTCATCAAAACATTGAGGAGACGATTGTCCTCGGATGTTTTCACCATATCCGCGCCGACTGACTCATCACTTCTCAGGGTTGTCGACGCTGAAAATCTTTCAATAAATAAATAAATAAGACAAACGTTAACTTGCTAATTATTTCTCTGTTTAAATAGTAATGATATGAATGAAAACAAGTGTTGGCTTGTATTTTCTTTTTCAGCTTTGTTATGTTTTTAATTTTACCACAGTAAATTAATAACAATTTCATACCTTACTAGCTCTTCTAGCTATAACTCTTGCCCACCGCTATTTCGTTTCGAAAAAGAAACGAAATAGACGCCATTTCGTCTATTTCGTTCCTTTTTCTACTTTGATATGACAATAGTCAGTTCATCTAGTTCAGGGCTTAACTACTAAGTGTCGTCCGGTATGTGGTCGCATTTCCAGAACACTTACACCTCAATGATTATCGATTTTTCTCGCATTGTCGCATTCGCTGCCTTTAGTACTCTTACTATCCTCGTTTCTCATTCAATCTCGGAGGAAAACCTATTCAGTCTAAACTGTTACAAGCATTAGTGAAAGTCGAAACTCTATGCCATGGCTCTTTTCTTTGTCTGCTGGGTGACCTTGAGCCTTTGTATGAGACCCAAAGTGAGCAAACCATGTATCAAACAAGGGCCCAGTGTGGATTGGTAGGTAAGTGCTTTTGGATACCTACTCTTTCTGTAAGAGACTTGCGAAAGTTGCAATCGTAACTAACCGTAAAAGTTCATAACCATAGTCGGAATGCGCTACCCATTGCAGTGCCGGATCTAGGGGGAGTGAGCTCCAGAATTATCATTAAAAATATCCACAGTTAAAAAAATAAATCTTCGCAAAAATGTTTTTTCTTAAATGCATATACATTATAGGCTACAATAAGGGTAAGTATAAGGGCGCAATGTCAAGTTTCTGCCCCGGCTGGAAAAAATCGTAGATCCGGGCCTAACCCACTGCGCAATTAAGCATTTAATTACTTAAATTTACTCAGCGTAATTGCGCTTATATTTAGCTCGATCCCGCCTGCGCGAATCTTGCAATATAAGTCTGATTACATTATCCCCATTCCACATACTGTCACGGACTCACGCGACGCGGGATCAATATTATTTCCGCTTAAAACATTTAGCGTCCCGTATGTGGATTAATGTGATAATCGTGATTTCCGACATTCATTGACATGTTATTTAATAAGTACCTTTCAACATTAATCAATGTATACTCAAATAGCAAATAACTTACATCTGAGTAGGAATTATTTTCTGTTTGAAAGTGGCCGGTTGCCGAATATGGTGTGAGACCTTCGTTCGCTTCCGATAGAACTTTATTTGCATGGCCTCACGGCTATAAACATGGCCGAGGTCCAAGCGTTCGCCATGTATTATTACTTTTAAGGGAAGCTCTTCTTATTTGTATAGAGTTGCCAATTTTTAAATGTCAATGTTTTTAGTCTTTCGACATCTCTCTTCGCAATATGTAGACAACAAATCACTATCACAAGGCATATGTGACTACAAACTTTATATAAAAATATAGATACAGTACAACTTGTTTTTATTAAAAAGAAATATTATTAACAGCATTTATTACCTAAGTACATCAAAATATGTACGATTCCATGTAGCATTTTTTATGAAAGTTTAGTCATTTTTAGCATGGGTCCCATTTAAAATGTCTAACAGTGCTACTTATAAACAAGGTTTAGCGTTGGAGTAAATTTACACTGAAAGTGCTCTTCGTATTAGTCAAAATTCATATTATTTAACAGAGTTAACAAAGGTTAACCTAGTACGAAGTTTTACGGGAGTAATATTTGCTCTCAGAAGGTAGTAGATTCGCTTATTCTCTGTGTAATATGAATATGGACTAATACTAAAATTGCAATTTTAGCGTAAATTCACTCTGACGCTAAACCTTCTTTATAAGTAGCACTGTAAAATTTATTGTAAAATAATATATATATACAACGTGTCCCAAAATTCAACGATAAACGGGCGCCAAGAGGTAGACCTGCTCATGTGTACTTATGGAATAATAAGAAAAAAATTATATCTTATTAATCTTTTTATTATAAAATAAAATATCTTAGATTATTATACCATTTTGGAATCTTCATGAGCTGCGTCAATTTTAAAAACAACTTGCCGCAGTAGTGTCTATACTTTTTTTCTACATGACTGTGAGTCAAAGATTACGGAACGTAAAAATCTGTGAAAATTTAAGGAAAAAAATACATTTTGATTGTTTTTTGTGTAAATACTGTGGGCATTTTGGTGTTTTTAACAGTTGTAGCGAATATTAGTACTACTTAGGTATCCGATACCAAAAAAAGATTGAACATAATTGAGAAGTTGTGGTCGTGGTAGTTGAAAATATCATAAAAGGTGTAAATTTTCGAATTTTATTTTATAATAAAAAAGATTAATAAGATATAATTTTTTTCTTATTTTTCCATAAGTACACATGAGCAGGTCTACCTCTTGGCGTCCGCTTATCGTTGAATTTTAGGACACGTTGTATATATAATAAGAATGAAAACACGTTGAATCTTTGGTAAGTGTTTATTCATTAATACGTATTCAAGGATAAAATTACAATTACAAAACTGACCATTACATTTTGCGACGCACGTACCGTCATTATACATAGTGATGTATGCGCAAATTGGCAATATTTTTCTTATTAGGTAAAAAATAACCTCTTTATTATATATTATTAATGAAACATTTCAATCAAGTCTGTTTCAATGATTTCACATTTTTCTGTCAATTTAAATTTCAGTTTCTTTTTAATACGCCGAATAAATTCATTTGTATGAAGTTTTATTGTTTTGACCTCTTTGTCTAGCTGCTATGCAGACACATCACGAAAAAAATGGAATTACACCCATTCCTTTTTACC